CCAGATTGATTTCAGGTCGATGAAGGCGTATCTTCCCTTTCCGATTCCGACTGGCTTTGACATCTTCATCCGTTCCACCTGTATTTGAAACGATGCTTCCGAGATAAGTGAAGGAGGCAACCTCTGTTAAGTCTCTCTCGTTGACGGTGATTGCTGTTGTTGCTGATGGTTGGTTGTTTATCTTCATCACCTACTTATGTCATCCCTGTGTTCACCTGGAGTCCTGTCTTTGATGCTTGCCAGCCTCTTCTGTTACTTTGTTGGTTCTCACCAGCAAGTCTTCGAGTTTGTGCGACATCAAACTTAAATCGCCCACCCGCGAAATCCAGATCTTCTACAGTCTTCTCATAGATTATGGTCGAGCGTACTCCTGTCTTCTCGTTCCCCACAGTCTGACGCATAGTCCAGTCCACCACAACGAAGAATATCATCGGTGATAATAGACAGTCAGCGCTGTCTTACTCCTGTGTTCACTTCGAATGCCTCACTGAATGATTTTTCCGTTGTGGATCACATGACACGTGGCAGGCATTGCATTTACCAGCCAGCTGTTGAATGAGGTTGGAAAAGAATTGGGCACTGTACGCCGTAATGTTGAAGCATATTCCAAATTACTTCTCGATCAACGTTGTCTGTCGAAGGCCTTTTCGATGTCGATGAAGTTGAGGTAGAGGTTTGACTGCCATTCTAGGTTTTCTTCTGTGATGATGATGCGTAGAGCTGCAATTTGATCAGCACATGATTTATCTTTCCTGAATCCAACTAGCTTGTTCCGGTAGGTGGTGGAGTTCTGCGTTCAGTGCATCTTTTATCCCCCCCCAGGAGGATGTGACTTGGTATTTTAATTGGCGTAGACAAGACCATTATCCCACGCCAGTTCTTGCACAGGCCTAAGTCACCTTTCTTTGGCAGCTTGACGAGGTAGCCTTTCTCCCAATCGTTAGGTACCTTTTCTTCATTCTAAATCTTTTGCAATAATGACGTGACCACATCTGCTGCCGTTTCTGGGCCCGTTTTCAGTGCTTTTGGGTGGGGAAATTCCGTCTGGTCCTGCTGCCTTCCCGACTGGACTTCAGTAGCTTGATCGCATTCATTATTTCTGCTTTCGTTGGAGGATTGGTGTCCACTGGCAGGGAGTTCTGTGTGTGCTGTTGGTGGAGGTGTATTTCTGGACAAGTTGCAGGTGGTGATGGTCGATTCAAGAGTTCATTGAAGTGATCAGCCCATTGATTTATTTGTCTCTCCTCATTGGTAATGAGGTTCCCTTGAACATCTTTTATTGGTTTCATCATCTGGGTTGATCTCTTCCCCTATAGCGATAGACCTCGTTATCTGATGCAGTGTTCTGATGTCTCTTTTGCCTGTGGCCTACCTGTTCTACTTCAGTTGCCGGTCAGTGTGTTGTAGAATTGTCTTTTGTCTTTCCTAGCACTCTTCTGCACTTCTTCATTCAGTGTAGTGTACATTGAACTCAGCTTCTCCTTCTGTTGCTCATCAGTGCATTGAGTCACCACCATTCTCTTTCACTATCTTCCTTTCCTCTCCTCTATCAGCTTCCAGGTATCTGTTGACAGCCATTCCTTGTCTTGTCTCTTCTTTCTTCTTAGGAAAGTTGTGCACGTTTCCTAAAATATCGCTTTCAAACAGTTCCAATTTTCTTCCACGCAGGTGTCCCCAGTGATGCCACGTAGTGTATCCGACTTTGCTCTGATCTAATCTGTGATGAAGGCATCCCTTGTAGTCTTGTCCTTCAGTTTCTGAATGTTGAACTTGAATTGTGGCCTTTCTCCATTTGTTTTCATAGATTTCAGCTTCACCTTGAAAATTTCTTGAACTATATGATGGTCTGCGCCCAAATCTGCTCCTTTTCTCGACTTTGTGTCCACCAGGCTGCGTATCCACTTCCCTGAGTAACATTGAGATGAAATCTATCTGGCTTTTGGTATGTCCGTCGGGCGAAATCTATGTTGCCTTGTGTATATCGTTGTGTTTGTAAACACTGCATCAGATCAACAAATAATTGAAGGCACAGAAGCCTGAGGAGAATTCCTCGTCTTCATTCATTTCTCTGTCGACCTACGATGAGTCCTCTTCCTGTATTGTCTGCTTCCAGTTCAGCTGGCACTCATATTGCTCATGATGATTTTGATGTTGCCATTCGGGATTCTCTCCATTACTGGTTACAGTTGTCTAGAGAAATCTCCCTTCTTCTCTTCTTTTGAGTTGTTTATAGGCGCGTAGCATTGGATGATTATAGCTCCCCTCCAATCCTTTTGAGTTGAATTTTACTGTCATGATCCTGAATGAAATTGGTTCCCTCTGCATTAGAGCGTTGGCTGCCACTGGTGACATCATGATAGCTACTCACTGCCTCCGTTTGCTCGTGGTTGTCATCTGGATGACCGGAATAAATTACCGACTGACCAGTTGACGATTTTGACAGTCCACATCCATTTCATCTGCTTTCGCAGATTCCCAGCACTGCTATACCATATCTTCTCATTTCTTTAGCGACCTGGGCAGTCTTTCCAGCTGGCTTCGTACACTGTACGAACATTCCACATTTCTATTGTTATTTTTACCTTCTTCGGAAGAAGACATACCAGCTGACTGGCTTCCCGAAGGCTTTTACCAGCCCACTGTGTCATTTCACCTCTCCGCTTCCAACTAAGAATAAGTTAGTTTTTTATTTATTTTTTATTTTTAATATTTATCCTAGGCGTTGAAGTTTCTGTGACAGTTTGATTGACTTTCCAAGGTAGCGTCGCCATTCCCACGCCCAATCCCCCCTCATTTCCTGCGCTTGTAACCGGCTAGCAAACTAGGTGAGGTTGGTTTAACGGTTTAGTACTCGACATTCACTGAGGCGATCCAGGTACAAATTGCAGCGGATGAACGCCTACACACCTCACCTTATTTTATAGCCGATAGTAGGCCCAGTAGAAAGAGGGAAGGTCGGAAATGAAGGCAGCGTGTAAAAGCAACTGAAACCGCCAAACTTGCCGCCCTCTAATCAACTCGAAATGCAACAGAATTAAAAAACAAACTAACTACACCTTATATATATGCATTGTCTGCCTCAGACGAATTATAAAACAATATCCTTTTTGAGTACTCCATAGACTTTTGTCTTCAAAATAATCCATTATGCAATCAATTTCATTTCACAATGGAAAAAACAAACACATAATAAATTTTGGAATAAGTCATTTCATCTAGAAATTTTTTTTAATATAAATCATGGACAACCACATATTTTCGTTTATCGAAAAAACAAAGTCATTTTCAACATTCAATATATATATATATATGAAAGCTTAAATAACTAATTTAAACAAAGTGAAAACTTTACAATCCAGAATGTGTGTTTGTGTGTATATTTCTTCCCCTTACTGGGACTTATTCATTTTGATGTGTATAAACCTTCAGTGTGACTCAGATTCAGCAACACTATTGATTTAAATGTCAAGGCCAGTGAATCATGAAAGCCATTTCTTGCATAATTTAATATTAATATTATTATGCGCCTTTATATTAACTAGTAAATTCCCGTTGATTGAAATAATAGTTGCTGGGCTAGAATGTAACGACAGAAGACAAGGGCCAGGCAACAGATGGTTTATCCAGGAAATCAACGGATATTTATAGATTTTTATGCACATTATTGTCGGCCGTTAGCAGGAGAAGCATCAAAGATAGGACTTCAATTGAATATAGAAAAAACGGAGGTTAGGGATGAAGATTCCTGGCCAACACCAACAGCAGCAACAACAACAGGCAACAATAAGCATAAATGGGAGGAACCTGAAAAAAAAACATCTTTTACCTACCTGGGAAACATCGTTTCAACTACAGGAGGGAGAAACTGACGAGGATATCAAAGCAAGAATCGGGAAAGCAAGGCAAGCTTTCACTACTCTCAAGTCTGTGTGGAGACAACAACACCTCTCAGCATGAAAGACAAGATCCGGATTTTCAACTCCAATGTGAAGTCAGTGCGACTATACGAATCAGAGACTTGGCCAGTGCGTCATAAAGAGGACATCGAACAAACTACAGACCTTCATTAACAGTTGTCTTCGATCAATACTTTGCTCGAGATCAGATGGCCGGCCAGAAAAGATCAGCAACAGAGATCTCTGGCAATGAGCAAACCAACCCAGCAGGAACCGATTGTGAAACAAATAGGCAGGGGGAAATGGAGATGGATTGGCTGGCCATACTCTAAGGAAACCATCAAGTGACATCACTAGACAAGCCATTGCTCGAGTAGATTGCGAAAAGGAGGCGGCGAGTTGGTCGTCAGTGCGAGGGTGGGTGACTTGGAGGAGGTCATGTGAAGAGGAGATGAAAGCGTGTAGGCAGACTTGGAGCCAGGTGAAGACTCTAGCAGAGAACCGAGCACTATGGAGACTTGTGGCTGAAGCCCTATGTTCCTCTAGGAATTAAAGGAAGTAATAATAATAATACTGTCGGCGGAGAAACAACGTCTTCTGATTGGTTGTTTTCTCACTGAAGGTTATTCTGTACTGCTTGTGACCGTTTCTCAGAAAGTTAAGCCATATATCTCCGAATCGTATTTGCACACGTTAAGTGTGCTGTGATTGGTTGTTGAATTCCTCAAGGTTAAGCTTTGTTATTGTTTTTCTCATGACCCTGATTCGGGACGTGAACATTGACGTAAATTGTTGTCTACAATTTCGGCTTGTTCGCAGTCAGCTCTCACCACAAGAATCTCATTGGGAACGTCATTCACCCATCATTCAACGTGGATAAAGATTCATCTAACCGATGAGTCGTTGAACAGGACAAAGTGTTCACCCTGATTTCCACTTATAGACACCATTGATAAAAAAATAACATCATGTCAACCATCAGACACTGTTGAATCATCCGTACCAGGAGATGACATTGTCAACACAGAACGATATTCAAAAGAATAATTAATTTCAACAGAAAAAAAATAGCAACAATAATAGAAAGCATGGGGTATAACTTACTCTGTGTAACAGACTATTAGCATGTTTATGTTGTTCTGTTGTTGTACGCAGTCGATGTATCTCCTCTTCAGCTGATTTAATTCGACGTTCCAAGACAACTTTATCAGCATCTTTAATACTTGATTCTTTTAAAGCATCATCTAATTGTTTTGACAGACGTTGATTACTTTGATTTAATTGGTTAATCCTGAATAGTAAGGACGATAAGAAAATCGATATTAATAATAGTAGTAATAATAATAGAGCGATATTATTATTGTTCCCCATGGATTCCAAGTGGAACATACGGCTTCAACTAAACATCTCCCTCCATATTGTCCTGTTCTCCAGTGTCGTCTTCACCTGCCTAACCTCACGATTGACCATTATCTCTCATTTCCTCCTCCCCAACACACGATCTCCTCCATGTCACCCTCTCATTGACGACCCATTCGTCGTTTCCCGTTCGAGTTGCACCAGAGCGTTCAAGCCAGAGGCTTGAAGTTTCTGTAGCAGTGTTTATTTTTACAGGATGGGGTTACTAGCCTAATGCCCAACCTTTCCTCTTTACCAGTTTTATTACTGGCTTAGCGAGGTAAAGGAGTGCGTCCAGTGGCCGGGGATCGAACCCCGGACCATGTGCATGGTCGGCGAGCGTCCTAACCGCTGTGCCACCAACGCACCAGTAAGCAACTAAGTCATTCGAAAACTATTCACCTACAATTGTCTATATTCAAGTTTTGGTTTGATTGATTTCAAACTTGACCACATACTGGGAAACATTGAAAAAACTAGGACGTACTTGACCACTCTTTCTTCCCTATTTGAGACTGTTCATCAGTACGCATCCATGACCCCACCGCTACAGGTTACAACGCTAGCTCATATACCATTCAGCCATTGGTTGCAAATCAAATGACTCATAAATTCTTACTTCTTTTAATTCACATAATATATCGTGAAACAATCAGCTAATGTTATCTATGAATATTTAGGTGGATACCACTGAAGAGACCCAAAGAAACACGAAGCAGCTATCGAGTACTTCCCAGGTGGTTTTCACTAACTCTCTAACTTAGGCCAGTTCATGAACAATCATAAAATTATCTGCAAAAACCAATGTCAGCTCATGATGAAATCCTGTAACCAATCAACCAAATCCTTACAAACCAACACTTGAATACCAATGAGATGCTCACTGGCGACTTGCCCTATTCAGGTAGGTAGTTACCTGGGGTTCCAGTAGGAAGCCGTGACCACTAGGGTGCAGCAGGTCGGGTGTGAGGACAAATACTCGCCGAAGACATTGGCTAGCGGTTGCGCTATATCGTGAATTGGCAGAAGTTAGAATTCATGGGCCATTGGATCGGGTCCCAGTGAGTGGCTTAATGGTCTACGAGCTCACTCGCCTTGTAACCAGAAGGTCCTGGGTTCGAACCCCGGTGGTTGCGTACTGATGAAGAGTCCCAAAATAGGCTGTCGAAACAGCTGTCCAGTACTCCTAGGTTTTCCAATGGTTATCTAACCAATGTCAGCTCATGATGAAATCCCGTAACCAATCAACCAAATCCCTACAAACCAATACTTGAAAAATCGAAAACTTTCAACCAATTTCAAACAAAAGTTAAGAGTGACAACTGAATTCTATTGATCAATCGATTGAACGAGTGATCAGATCAATTCAGCGGTAGTGAATGAATTGAATTTAGGGGCCAATTCAAACTATCTGACAGAAGATTTCAATCGTTTCTTTTTCTTCTTTATTTTCACGTTATTTTGATTAAGTTCATTTTAAATTTGTAGCTCAGGTGGATGATTTGCAAATAATAGTGTTCTCTGAGCTGGTTGGTTTAGTTGCGAAGCTTTCGCCGTCCTTCTGGACGCCATCTTCAGCGCAATATTTGGCATAAAGTAAGATGATTTAAATTTCTCCATGAGTGATATAATTGCGTCTCCCGGTAACCATCTTTACATATATATTGACCATTTTCTATTGACTTGCTTTTTATTAGTTGGTATATTTTGTCTATATTAACGTGTTTGTTAATTGCATTTTCGTTTGAGTACCAGGCTTCTAGGAATTCCCCGACTGCACTTTCGGTGTTTCCTCTGTCTAAGATTTTGACATTATCCCAATCAAATTGATGACCATAATTGTCTATATGCATTGATACATATCGTGTCATTTCACGGCTGATTTGTGTTCTTGGATTCTAATTCAAAGAGGACGCCCACTTTGGTCGATGTAATGCTTGTTACAGTTCACACAATTTATTTTGTAAATGGTAATAATTTTATCCCCTTTTTCTGTTGGATCTTTCGATTTGCATAATATCGAATTAAGCGATTTGACTGGCTCGTGTGCTATATCTATATCGAACGGTTTCAGTATTCTAGCTGTTATTTTAGAGATATTCCTCATGTATGGTCAATACATATGTAAAGATAGTTACCAGGAGACGCAATTATATCACTCATGAAGAAATTTAAATCATTTCACTTTGTGCTAAATATGGCGCTGAAGATGTTGTCCAGAAAGACGACGAAAGCTTCGCAACTAAACCAACCAGCTCAGAGAACACTATTAATTGCAAATCTAACTTCTTTTAATTCATAATACATCGTGAAACAATCAGCTAATCTCGTCTGTGAGTACTTTGGTGGATACTACTAAAGAGTCTCAAAGGAACACGGAGCAGCTATCGAGTACTTCCCAATGGTTTTCACTGACTCTCTAACTTAGGCCAGTTCATGACCAATCATAAAATTATCTGCGAAAACCCAAAAACTTTTTGATTATTTCAAACAAAAGTTAAGAGTGACAACTGAATTCTATTGATCAATCGATTGAACGAGTGATCAGATCAATTCAGCGGTAGTGAATGAATTGAATTTAGGGGCCAATTCAAACTATCTGACAGAAGATTTCAATCGTCTCTTCTTCTTCTTTATTTTCACGTTATTTTGATTAAGTTCATTTCAAATTTAATGTACATATACATACATACATGTATGTAACGATTGTAGTATTACTTTGTTTAAACAAACTATCATTGAATAATAGATTCAATGTGTTCAATGACAATTGGAAATAACGCGAACGCTACAGCAACACATAAACATATTTAACCACATTTAATAGTACTAATTATCGATAGATTAACATCATGTGTTAATCATACTTTTGACATGGTGGTATAGAGAAGAAAATGGATTACAGGCTACTTTTAGTGCACTGAGTTCAATGTGATTGATGAGTAGGGATGATCAAGTGAAGTTTTGGAAGTTTAATGATGAAAGGATGAAAGACTTTCTTCTATTCAAATGCAGTGAATTTTAATCTACTGTGTCAGTGTGTTCTTAAACAATTTTACTTTCGGTGCTAAATGAACATTCCATCCTTCCACTCATATTTATGTTAACTGTTTCACGGAATATACACAGTGAATCATTATTATTATTATTGTTCCCTTGGGTTCCTAGTGGAATATTGGGCTTCACCTGCACGTTTCCACTTGCTTCTGTCTTCTGCTGTACTTTTCACCTGCATCCATGTTAATCCATACTGTTTCAACTCTTCTTCACACGATCTCCTCCATGTCACCCTTGGACGTCACACTCGCCACTTCCCTTTCGGATTCCACTCGAGCACCGACCTGACGCGCGATGTCACCCAGTGGCCTCCTCAGCGAGTGTCCAATCCATCTCCACTTTCTCTTGCATATTTGTTGAGCGATTGGTTCTTGTTTTGTTTCTTCCCATAGTTTCTTGTTTGTAATTCTCTCCGGCCATCTGATCTTCAGTATAGAACGAAGACAGTTGTTGATAAAGGTCTGCAACAGGCTGTTGGAAATATTCTTTGTGACACACTGGCCAAGTTTCTGATCCGTATAGAAGAACTGACTCACTTGACGTTAGTATTGAAAATCCGAATCACTTTGTTGTTGATGCAGGCTGAGTGACGAAAATTTCCAGATTGGTTTCAGGTTGATGAATGTGTTTCTCGCCTTCCCGATTCTCCATTTGACATGCTCGTCCGTTTCACCAGCTTGTAGTTGAGACAATGCTCCCTAGATAAGTGAATGAAGTAACCTCTTTCAAATCCCTCCCGTTGATGGTGATTGGCGCTGGATGTTGTTACTGCTGCTGTTGTTGTTGTTTGGTGATTTTCATAACCTCCGTCTTGTGTATGTTCACCTGGAGTCCTGTCTTCTCTGGCTGCTTCTTCGACCACTTTGTCGGTTTTCGCTTGTAAAATAGGGTACCCGATCTTCCTGATTATTACACATTGTAATTTTTGTTTAATTTGAGCTTTGGCCTGAAATATTTCTTGAATAGTGCCACTACCTACCTATCTTCTGTTTATAACACTTGTTAATTTTATTAATCTGACCTCTGCCTGGAAATAATTCTGGAAGTTTCTTACACATGTAATATAAATACATGGATGTAAACTGTTTCATTGTGTGAAGATGCTGAGATCAGTACAGCTTGAAAGGCATCTGAGAGTAAGCTGGACATTGACCCTGGATTTACAAATAAAACTAAGGTCTCAGCTAAGGAAATAATATTAGGTATTTAGTTATTTACAGTTGTGATTATGCAGTGATATTTGTTAGAGAACTATTGGAAAATCAATGAGTAGTGAACAATTGCTTCGCACCAATTCGGCAGTCTTCAGCATTACGCACCCACTGGGGTTTGTAACTGGGATCTTCTCGTTACAAAGCAAACTCGTAGAACTTTCGGCCACTAGGAAACAATCCCATGGCCAGCCCATGAATTCCACCTTCTGCCAGTTCTCCATATAAACAGAGCGAGTACCGTTCTCTTACCTGACTTGGTCAACTCCGCTGGGTACGACCTCTCACGAGATCTCCAGGTAACCTGCTGTATATAGACAGTCGCTGGGGTGCATCAAATCTCTGCAAACCAAAACTTAGCATTCAGTTATGTCTAACCTCCACTTTATAAAAAATTTGCAACCAAACAAATAAATGGGGTGGCAATGGGATCACCAATATCCCCAATAGTGGCAGACTAATCTAGAGATAGCCACAAACATAAAGCTCTTAGAGTGTTTACACCTGCTCCTAGGGTTATCCTAGGGATATGCGGATGATACATTCACGGTATTGAAATCTGAACATATTTTGCAGTTCTACACACACACACACACATGAATTCATTAATAAATAGAATCCCATT